TTATCTGTTGGGAAGATAACAAAGAAAATGAACTAATATTTCAGTCTCATTAGTAGTAGTTATTTCTTGATCCTATGCCAAATATAATTCATTTGCTTTTCTTCTGCGATAGACCCATGCTGTTATCACAGTGAGAATACAGCTTTAATAGAAAGATTTAGGAAGAAAACAAGTTAATTCTGAAGCTCTCATTTTAGTTTTCATATTTCTCTTGTGAATGACTTTTCAGGTTGAGACCACTCCACTTTTCACATATACTTCCTCCAAACTTTGTGTATTCTCCATGTGTGGCTGTTTTTCCCCCATAACAGATTTTTCTTACACAACTATTCATTTCCTTAAAGGTTTTACACACACACACGCACACACACACACAGACTCTCAGAGTAGTAATTCATTACAACATAAATTATAATATTTCATGTAGTCTTCTAAACAGTAATTATAAGCATTTATTATAACAAAGTTATAATGCATATATATAAAACATAAGGAAAATGTAAAATCAGAATGCAAAATGTAAATTTATTCTATTTTCTTTTTAGTATAAAATACATCCTACATATACTTAAAGTTTTTTAATTGTAGTAATGGAAGCACTTTGGTTTATCTAAAAAAAAATAAAACTGATTGAAGCAATAGTACAGCAGGTAGAGCGCTTGCCTTGCATATGACTGATCCAGGTTCAATCTCCAGACCCACATAGGGTCCCCCAAATAATGCCAGGAGTAATGTTGTGAACACAGAGCCAGGAGGAAGCCCTGAGCACCGCCAGGTGTCACCCCAACCAACCAACCAAACAAACAAAACAAAACAAACAAAATAAGAATTATAAACCATAGATTCGCAAACAATAATTTCTATTTTTAAATGAAAGAGCTAAAACAAGGTACTAGAGTTTCAATACGTGTTGGTGAGAGTGCAAAGGAGGGAGCCCTCCTATACTGCTAATCATACCACCTTTGGAGAATTATTATTCTATTATTTCAAGCACTACTATTTCATTTTACACACAAAAAAACTAAAATTCAGAGCCTAATTTTCCAGTCATATAAAAAAAAATTACCAGAACCCCTCTTCTGAGGGGTTGAGATTCAAACCCACATTTACATAATCCAAAATTTACACTAATCCCACACAGTAAGCTGAATTTCATAGTATGTCGTTTGTTTTTAAGAAAGCATTCCTGATATAATATATAGCAATTTGTTATTCACGAAAAACCCAGGTATGCAGGATCCGTGACTGAAATCTCTATGCTCGCTTAGCCTGGGAATGAGCCTCCTCCCACTATCTCCTAAGTTTACCAGTAGCTTGACAGTCATACCCACAAACTGCCCCGGCTCCATATATCATCATCAATAGCCATGATCCAGAGACTCTGAAATAAAGCTCCCAGAAAAGATCAACATAGGCCTTACCCATGAGTGAATCTGCTGTATAATCGTATTCTAAATTTTAGAATTCCTGGAGCAACCTTTCATACTCTGCACCAATAATGTACCAAGAGTAGCATACAACATTTGATGGGGTTTAACAAACATGTTAGTAATCTCTTACACAAGGGGTTAATGCCTCTAGGATGAAATACAACAATCTTCGCACACTCTAAGAAAACTTTATTAGACTATTTTAGTGGATTATTCATAACAATCAATATAAAATTGTTTTGTTCTGATTTGGGGGCCATAATTTGGGATTTGGGGTGGAAACATTTGAAATATGGTGGTGGGAAGGTGCAATGGTAGTGAGGTTGGTGTTTGAATATTAAATGTAATGAATTATTGTGAACATATTTATAAAAATAAATTTTAGAAAAGTAAAAAGAATGTACAATATAGAAAAATTATTTATGATATAACACAAGAAAATTTAAAATGTTATATCTTAATTTCACTAAAATACATAAATATAAATGTGATTGGTTGTATATATAGATCTAAGGAAACTGGTAAGGAATGCTATTTATTTTTCTTTCTTCATTTTGTTTGTCCTAAATTTTATACCTGGTATTAAAAATCATTGTTCTTAAAGATGTTCAATCTCACATAGATTGAATAAGATAAAGACATAACTTTTATTTTTTTAAGATACAGGAAAATGTGGGCAGAAGCAATAGCACAGCGGATAGTGCATTTGCCTTGCACGCGACTGACCCGAGTTCAATTCCTCTGTCCCTTTCAGAGAGCCCAGCAAGCTATCGGTAGTATCTCGTCTGCATGGCAGAGCCTGGCAAGTTCCCCGTGGGGTATTTGATATGCCAAAAACAGTGACAACAAGTCTCACAATGGAGACATTACTGGTGCCCGCTTGAGCAAATTGATGAACAATGGGAGGACAGTGACAGTGCTACAGGAAAAAGAAAGCTACATTTGCAATGTTTGTTTTGGGTATACAAACAGTGGTGCTCAGGGCTTTTTCCATGTTCTACGCTCTGGGATAACTCTTGATATGGCTTGGGGGGCCAAAGGATCAAACCCAGGTTGGCCACATGCAAGGCAAGCAGCCCTAGCCACTGACCTATAATAGCAATTTTAAAGTTCACAAGTTTCTATAGATCTATCTTGATTTCCTGTTAAAGTCTAAACATTCTAATTTACTAAGGCTGTAATGCAGGGGCTACATAAGAAAAAGAGCTGCAGAGAAATTGGACTTAGAGAGATAGGAACCTCTGGAGCTCCTATTAATTCATCCTTCATCTCTGAGTGAATAGTATACTCAGCATTTTTAATATGCTAAGTCTGCTCTGAATGTTTACCTTCACATAATACCATAATATGGTCCAAATGAGAGAAGCCACACTGAACCTGTGTATCAAGAAATCTTATTTATTTATAAAGATACAGAATGAGGTGGGGGAAAAAAAACTTGGTAACTTTCCCATGTTGATCTTCAGTTCTGATATTCAGCTTGTTTATTCAGTCTGCAGCCTCTTTCCATCTGACTTACGAGATGTTTTCTTAGCACTAATGGAACCCGCTGGGCAATGTGACTGAGGAAGAACCGTTGGTACAGATAGAAGTCTCTCAGACCTGTCCTAGCAGAGAGAATATTCCGTTGGGTTGGCTGGAAGGCTCTGAAAGGAAGGAAGAGACATTAGTGAGAATTTCCCTCAGATAACACATTTTAGTTTAGAGAAATCCTGCTCAATTATGTTTCCCAACTATCATATGAGTAATTTAGTTGTGCACTGGTGATGGGACAGCTGTTAGAACATTGTATGACTGAAACCTAATCATGGACAACTTTGTAACTGTTTATATCTCATGGTAACTTAATAAAAAAATTTTTTTAAGTAATTTAGAACAGAAGTCAGACACCTGGCTTTTTTGAAAGAAATTTTCAGGTTTTCCTGCCAAACTTCTAATTGATATGGTACACAAGCGTTAATAGAAAGACCAATTTTCTTTCTCTGTGAAGATTTGTTCAGTTTTTGTTAAGAGCAAGGACTAGAGTCTGGTTTTATTACCATATTAAAAGTTACTAACTGGAGACACACAAACGAATCTCAGACCAGAGCAACTTACTGCAGAGAATACCCGGGACTTTGCAATAGGCCTTCTCCCCTGGGCTGCTCCAGACGGGGGCAGGTGTTGTCCCTCCGCCTGACCTCTAAGAGGTCCAGCGGCCCCTATTTTCTAGAAGCCAGTGAGAAGCTGCAGGTACTAGTCGTGGTGACGGCAAATCCCAAATCTCGAGGGATGGGGAGAAATGAGCCCTTCTCCCCCCCCCCCCCCCCCGCCTCGATGGGACTCCAAGATGATGCTACGTCTGCCCGTCTACTTAACCTCCCACACGGCCACAACCCAGAGACACACAAATTGATCTCAGGACCTGAGCAACTTGCTGCAGCAATTTCTTCAGACCTCAATTATTAAAATCTTAGAATTCCTAGAGCGCACATTATATTATATCCATAACAAGCAATACAAAACACATTGTCTAGCATTGCATTTTCAGCAGGTATGAGGGATGGTAGGATTGGTCTCAAAATATCGAAGGTAGCTAAAGTAGAGAAAGAGTATTTTGCATATTGTCTGCCACATAGGCAGGGGGATGTATGGAATGGGGGGTGATATTGGGAATTTTGGTGGTGGAAAACATGCACTGGTGAAGGGATGGGTGTTTAAGGACCGTGTGATCGAAGTTCAAACATGAAACTCTTGTTACTGTACATCATGGTGAATAAAAAAAAACAATTACTAACTATAATTTCTTTTTCATTGCATTTCTAAATATTAAAGATATATATCATACTTTTGAAAAATACAAAACATTTGAGGAAGATTAAAATACTACAATCCTTCTACTCACATAAACAATATCCGTTATTAACAGTATATATTATTCTTGAACTTACGGCACAATAGCAGATTTGGAGTTCTGAGCAGCCAAGGGAAAAAAAAGGAAACAATTTACTTTGGTTTCAAACAACGTTTTTGACTGTCTATACTATTACAAGTTAGGACCTAAGGCACATCTTTAAGAAAGCTACTTTAATAGATGTGTCTCCTGGGCTCATCCTTCTATACTCACAAAGCTAAAATATTTAGTGATATTACTTCAAGAAAAGAACATGCATGAGGCAATTTATGCAAAGTATCTAAATAAAGATTCCCACTTCCCCTCTCCCGAAGAAACAAATCAATATACATATTAGAGGGAAGCCAAACAGATTAACTTGGTGAACAACAGAAGATCAGTAGAAGAATATCTTTAATGAATATTTTAGGCTTGCCAAGACGACAAATTTCTGGCTCCAAAAGAAAGCATACGTCTTTAGTTACAACAAGATATCTCAGATTTATAGTATACAATTGTAAGTGTTCAAGTTTTTTCTAGTTAATATTTATAAATTAATCTTGCTAAGTACGCCTACCGTATGAAAAAGCAAATTATCATCAAACTCTAGGGCAGAAATAATTAGCAGCAGCCATAGTCACATTTCACTACAGTATTTCACTACAGCCACATTTCACTACAGTATTTCTTTTAATGCTCTCTGGTTGGTTTGTTTGTGGTACTGGCGTTCAAACCCTGAGCCTCAAGCAAGATCAGCAACATCCTGGTCCTACAGCATACCTTTCAAACCACAAGTTTTCCCTGTCATAGATGGGACAAAATAAAAAATATATAAGGTGCAGGGCAGAGAGATTGTGTTCTGGGGGGAGGAGGTGTTGGGCCAGCCTGTATTCATGGTACCATAAGGTACTGGGAATCACACCCAGGCCTCCCACCTGAAAAACATGTAGTTAGTTTTCTGAGCTCTCACAGCCCCTCTTTGAGACCTTGTTTAAATCATCATAACAAAACAGAAAGTAGATAAAACTCATATGTGAATTCTATTGAACCATTACACTATTTAAAATATCACTCTTCAAAGAACATGCAAAACTATTTTTTTTTTTTGTTAAAATAACTGAAAGCTATTTTTCCAGTCAGCTTAGTCTTTCAGCTGGTTTAGATTCAGTTTCTGCTTGTGTTGTGTAGAGCATCCACAATAGTTTTATTGTATTCTGAAATTTGTTTGGTCACATTCTTCATAATTGGTTGGTAGTCACTTTCTTGACTCTTGGTTGCTATGACTAATTATATTGTGTTAAGGAGAACACAATCAATTAAAATATCAATCTGACAGTAACTCCGAAAGGAACCAAGTATTAGTGGGATTTCTTTCTATTGAAAATTGAAGATAGCAGAGAAAAAGTACAATGAGGTTATTTTTTTTACACACTGCTATTTTAACAAATTAGTTATCAATTGAAATCTAAACCATCAAGCAAAACTTGTTTTTGTTAAAAGTTTGCACAAATATAGGGACTTTTTTTTCCTTTTTGGGTTACACCTGGTAACACTCTGGGGTTACTCCTTGCTCTTCACTCAGAAATTACTCCTGGTGGTGCTTGGGGGACCATAGGGGACGTCAAGGATATGACCCAGGTTGCCACATGCAAGGCAAACACCCTACCTGCTGTACTATTGTTTTGACTCATATTTTTAGAGTTAACATATTATCACTTCAATCTAATAATGCTGTTCTTAGTTGAAGGGTCAAAAATATGTTCTCTAGAGTACTATTAATAATTTCAGACAACACTTCACTGTTCAAAATCATGTATTTTATGCTGCAAAAAAATCAGAGTGCTGAACTTTTGTATGTTGTGAATAGAAGTATTCTTTCATACTGAACAGCATGACCACTGGGATAGAGCCTCATCTGGAAGTAAGCCAGGGGTCCATGCTTTTCTGCCTTGAAGTTCAGCAAGCCTTCTGTCTAGAACAGAAAATGTGCTACCAACAAGGCTGAATCTAGTCCTTTTAGGCAGAGTTGTCCTTGAATGAATGGGTCAAAGCAGGGAATAGGAAACAACTTTTGAGGAAATGTTTCTTGAAACTCCACAATACATGTCCTCAGCATCTGCTTCCTTCTATGATCACACGAAAAGATAAGAAAATGGGACACAAGTACCATCTTGGCAAAAATAAAACCAAGCTGAAGTGACTGACATAAACTTGATGGTTAAATTTCTTATGACCTTACTTGTTTATCTTATTTTTCTGTGCAGATATCCAAAAAGCAGCATTATAAACAATAACAAACTACAGAAATGCCCACATACATCAGACATATATGGTTATACATAATCCTCCCAACAACTCTATGAAAAGAAAATATTAACTGTATTTATGATAAAATTCAGAATTGAACAAATTAAGTAAATTGTAATCCAACAACTTTATGAAAAGAAAATATTAACTGTATTTATGATAAAATTCAGAGTTGAACAAATTAAGTAAATTGTCCATGGTCCATAATTTGTATATTATAGAGTCAACATTTAAAACTAGATTTCCCTGGAGGTGCAATAATTTTCTACAACAAGAGCATAAACATTGTCACTATTATAAGCAATGTTACCACAATCATATAGTAAACACAAAATAAATAAAATTAGATTTTCTAACTATCTATGCACTTAATCGCCATGTTTATATAAGCCACAGTATGACTTTGCATACTCTTTTTGTTATCAATGTACCACACACACATATATACACACATATGTACACCTAACTATTATAGAGTAGAATATTTTACTTATTTCCTCCTATAGTTTAGCTCAATATTTTGCATTAGGTAGACGTTACTGGGCCCAATGGAGCAAATCAACGAACAATGGGAGGGCAGTGCTACAGAGCTACAGATGTGCTAAAATGAATTTTTCTTGAAAAAATTTCCTAGAAAAACATAGTAAGATTCACTTGCAGCTTTTTAAAGGATACATTCTTTCATTACAAAATTATTTTGCTCATGGTGTTGCCACTTCCTCTCCAAATTTGTAAGCTAAAAACACAAAAGAAAAATGTTAGCCAATGCTCATACTCAAAACAATTATACACCCTTTTAAAAAGGATAAGGAGGGAAAAAAAACAGTGAACTTTAAATCTTATCAACTCCTTGCATTTTATTGAGATAAAACCATGGTAGACAAAAAAGAAGTTTATAAAAGTTTAAACAACAGTAAATACATTAATAAATACAATGTTGAATTAAACAGTAAGTTTTACCCTACATGTCTACTTTAACTGCAAAATACTTTAAAGTATTGTATCATTGAATATGCCAACTGAAAGACAATTTGAGATTTTACCCATGTCTAAAAGAAGTTAAAAAAGAAGAATGGGACATGATGGTAATTGCTCCTTGAAATCTCGAAGTTTAATGTCACGATTATAATATATATTCTAACACTGTTAAAGGTTCAGCTATAGAGGAAAAACTTCCTTATTTCCAGGGCTAAATTTCCTGTCTAATTCCACAAGCTGTGATAAGAACAGAGCTGCAGTGTGAAGATTATAAGCAGGCTGGTAGAAAGCTGGCACCATTACAATAATTTTTGCATCAACAGGAAGCTAATGTGGATATTATATTGATGGTTGCTTCCTCGGAAGACAATTTTACTGTTATAGAATTAAATTGTTTTTTCTGATTTAATTAACCTTGTAACTCTAGGTTATGGTCTTTCTTTTTTAAGATGCAGTTTTTTTTTCCTCAGCAAGCAACTATCTGAAAAATGAAACAATGTTCTAATGAGACATTTTCAAATAGTAATGACAATTTAAATATCTGACAATTGGAACAGTGCTGATATTTTATTCTACATTTATGTTTAAATTATTTTCAGGGCATAAGTTCAGTCTTAATATTGCATCTACACCATTGTTTCCTTAAAAGATAAATCGAGATATTAGGATGAATTATAATACATTATGTAAACTGTGCTGTGTGTTAACACTGCACTAAATCAGATCTAGCTTCCTCATATAGGACCTGGAAGTTCAGACTGATCTAAGGAAGCAGTCACCACTTTTTGACAGAAAAAAAAAATCTCTAATAATCTTTTAGATTATTATTACTAACCTCTTCCCTCTTCCTCCTTTTCATACTCAGACGTAGCTTTATTAATAAAGCAGACCTCTTAAGTCTTGAGGCTATAGTGAGGCACAAGTTTGTATCTGAATATCTTTTTCCTACAACTTATTCCAAAGGTCTGTATAAGTTCTTTATATATTCTGGATATTAACCCCTTTATCAGTTAATATGACAATTGCAAATGTTTTCTCCTACTCCATAAGTTTTGAAGGCCTATTGTTTTGCCAGCTTGAATGTTCGCTTGTGGTTGCCTGAGGCATGTGCCAAGCCACATTGGCGAATAAGTTCAAGAGTGTTCGAAGAAAGGCGTTTTTTTGTGGTTATCTCTCTCTTGGCATTCCTCGCACAATCATGGAGGTGCTGAATCATTCGATCATATTCCTCATCAATATTGTCAATGACGGCATCTTCCCATGTTGCCGCAACAGAGCCAAAGAGCTCCCAGTTGGTGGTCGTTCTGGGAGTCCTCTTCTTAAACCTTGCATTCTTTTCTCCTCGTTCTGTGAGGTAGAATTTTGCACAAAGGTGACGGTGGTCTGATCCCGTTTGGAATTTTGGGACAACAGCAACATAGGTTAGGCAAAACCGCCGATTGAATATGATGTGGTCTATTTCATTGTGGAACCGTCCATCGGGAGACTCCCATGTCCAACGTTTAGATTCAGCCTTTTGGAACTGTGAGTTACCATGGAAGGTCTTGGTTGACATGATGAACTCAGACAGTCTGTCACCCTGTTCGTTCCATTCTAGGCCATGGGTCCCGATGTGGAGTTCATTGGCTGATCTTCTTGGTCCTATCTTGGCATTAAAATCACCAACAATGATCTTGTAGAAGGTGTGATCTTCTTTATAGAACTTCTCCAGCTCCATGTAGAACTTCTCAGTTTCTCTTTCACCATAACTGGATGTTGGTGCATAGACAACAAAGATAGAAACTGCCGGTAGTGAGCCACATCTATTCAAGTGTAATCGTCCGATTCGGGTTTTTAGGCATTTGAATGAATCAATGCTCATGGCTAAGTTTGTGTTGACAAGGATACCGACACCACCGACACCTCTTTTATCACATGTTCCAGGGAACAGTTCTTCTCCAGTGTCGAAAACAGCGTGATGTGATTGATGTCTTCTCGTTTCGGTCAGACCAATGATGTTGTAGTTGATCTTTCGCGCTTGTACCATCAGGTCTTCAATGGATGCAGCAGATGCCAGCGTACGAGCATTAAAAGTACAGACAATCATTTTTGTCTTTCTTCGTTTTGGCAGCCTATTTCTGCCTTGGAATTTTATCAGCCTCTCCTTCCACATCCTTCTCGACTCTGCCGTATTCAGGGTCAGGGGAATGAGATCCATTTATTACTGGATTTGGCATATCAATTTGGTCTATTTGGCATAGAACATGGATAGCTTGCCAGGCTCTGCCATGCGGGTGGTATATTTAAAATATGAGTAATATTAAATATAGTAATATTAAAAATTTTTTGTTTGTTTTTAGGCCAACAAGGAATGCTCAGGAGTGTGATCCCTATGAGTGGTCAGGGGATCATATATGGTGCTCAGAGACCATATGTGATGTTCAGGGTTCAAACCAGGGTAGCAAGAAAGACAAGCACCTCTCTTCCTGTACTACCTCTGTGGTCCCTATTAAAATTTTTTTTAAAAGTATAAATAACTTAGATGTATAACAGGGAATTAGTTCAATAAATGATACCCGTGTAGCCATATATTATTAGAATAATATTTTAAAAATATCTACAAACAAGAAGTTTGAAAAGATAAATGAAGAGATTAGAGCAGAGAATCTGAAAATAATAAAAAAATTTAACAATTTTCCATCTAATTTTTACCTGAGAATGTGTCTCATTTTCTTGTAAATGTGTTTTTAGACTCTCATACTCTAAGTTTAGCTTCTCCATTATTTTTTTAAAGGCATTTCTGCGAGTTGATAAGACTGATCTCTCCTGATGTAATTTCTAGATAAATCCAACAGAAGGAAATAACAAAACAATATAAATATAAATTCATTTGACATAAATAAATTCAATGATATTTTGATAAAATTCCACTAATACTATAAATACTCAAACTATTAATAAAACTATATTGTGAGCTGTAATAAACTGAGTTAGTATCAACTGTATTAATTATAATGCAAAGCTGTTCTATTGGTTCTTACTCTACTATATAGCTTTTCTAATTTGTCTTTGCTTTAAAATGAAGTTTAATTTAAATTAATGCAAATGGCAATTAAAAACCAGTGACAAGATTTACATAAGTCATAATCAAATCTGCATATGACAAAGTTTCTACTTATTGAAGGCTCCCTTTTGCTTTCAATATTTACTTTTATTTCTCTTTTTTTGTATTGTTGTGGGTGACACTTAGCAGTGATCAGGGCTTACTCCTGGCTTTGGGCTTGGAAATCACTCCTGAGCTGGGGCTCGGGGGACCATAATGGCGATGGGAACTAAACCCAAGTTGGCCCTACCCATTGTACTAGCTCTTCAGCCCTAATGTTTATCTTTTTTTAATCTGTAAAAGCTCTAAATTCCTACCATAATATCTTCATTTTTGGTTACTTCATGTCAAATAAAAAAACTGAAAACAATAAATCTATAAGTGATATTTTTTAAAATTAAAAAATAATTTTTAAAAAAATGAATCACTGTGGGGTACAGTTACATACAGACTTACAAACTTTCATACTACTTTTTAGTCATACAATGATTGAGTACCCATCCCTTCACCAGTGCCCATTCTCCACCACCAATGATCCTGATATCTGTCCCACCACCCCCACCCCACCTCTATGGCAGGGCATTCTCTTTTGCTCTCTCTCTCCTTATGGGTGTTGTGGTTTGCAGTAAAGTTATTGAATGGCCATCATTTGATCTGTGGTCTACTTTCAGTATGCATCTCCCATCCCGATTGGGCCCTCCAAGCACCCCACACTAGGTGGTCCCTTCTCTATTTGAGCTGCGTCCCCCCCCACCAGCATTATAAATGATATATTTTAAACAAGAACAAGAAAAAGTAATTTGAATTGCAATTTTGTAAAACACTATTAGCATTTACCTTTTTCTTTTCTTCACCTGATAATTTCAAGGCTGGTAAATCATTGTATGTCTCCAGATCAGCTGTCAGTTGCTTAATCTTACTCTTTAGAGATTGTTGCTCCTCAGTCATCTTACTTTCCAGAAGCTCCATTTTCTGTAGATCCAATTGTAGACGTTGACTATCTGAAGAGAAGAAAATTCAAGACCCAAATTATTCAAAATGGTATTACTTTCATATGTGGAAATGTAATGCAGCCATGTTTTGTATGAAAGTACCATATTTTACAAGACCATCTGCAAATAAATATGTTGTGGCAATTAAGTGAGCCAATACAAAGATAAACTAAAATGTTTTCTATTTATAACCCAGGGATGCAAAAACACACAGTAGAAATGATATCTGCACTTGTATATTGATTAAAGCACTTTTCACAGTAGCCAGAATTTGGAAACGACCCATGTGCCCAAGAATAAAAGACTGGTTAAAGAAACTTTGGTACATCTACACAATGGAATACTATGCAGCTGTTAGAAAAGATGAAGTCAGGAAATTTGCTTAGAAGTGGATGGACATGGAGAGTATCAAGCTAAGTGAAATTAGTCAGAAAAGAGAGGGGCAGATATAGAATGACTGCACTCATTTGTGGAATATAAAATAACATAATATGAGACTAAAATCCAAGGACAGTGGAGAGAAGGGCCAGGAGGGTCTCTCCATGGTTTAGAAGCCTGCCTCGTGCTGGGGGAGAGGGCAGTTGGGATGGAGAAGGAACCAGTAGGTCAATGATGGTTGGAGGGATTGCTCAGGATGGGAGATGTGTGCTAAAAGTATACTAAGGACAAAACATGATGGTTTTTCAGTATCTGGATTGCAAACCATGATGCGGAAAAGTAGAGAAAGTAAGAAGGAAGACGCCTGCCAAAGAGGCAGTGGGTGGAGTAGAATGGGGGTGGCGAAAGGCATACTGGGGACATTGGTGATGGGAAATGTATTCTAGTGGAGGGATGGGTGTTAGATCACTGTATGACTGAAACTCAATCATGAAAGCTTTGTAACTGTATCTCATGGCGATTCAATAATAAATTAATTAAATGTTTTTCACCTTGGAGATAAGCAAAGTAATTTGACTTATATTAGCCATACTTATCTCTATGCAAAATATATAGGAACAAAGCTTTTCTTAATAAAATAACGTATGATCTCCACAGGCTCGAGCTGAGCCCTTATGCCTGAGAATGAATCCGCTGAAAACCCCAAGTATTAGGCTTTTGTAACCCCCCAGGACTCTGTGGAGTCTGAAATAGGCGACCTCCACCCATATTCCTGTTTACCCAGAGCCTAGCAGCCATGCCCAGGAACCACCTCTGGTGCCATTCAAACTCATTAACAGCCACGATCCAGAAACTGACAAATAAATCTCGCAAGAGAGTCACAAGTTGTGTTGCACTACCCCTTTATGCTACCTTCCTCGTCTCTCTAAAGACATGATTTTTAAACAGAAAGAAAAATAATTATGAATTAGCCTAAGAAGAAAGTAAGTGTTCAGAGAAAAGAATCACCTTGTTTACAGGTAAGGAAAAAAAGCTATCTTTTTGAGCAATTAACAGTGGTTTAATAAACAGAACCCCAAATTCACAGTACTGGTGGCTGGAGACAAACGAAGTATCAGAAAGCTTTCATCAAGGGTTTTTTCAGTCAAGCTAGAGAACTGGAACTTTATCCTAAGTGTCATAGCAATCATCATTGGAGCAGAGAAGTGTGAGGTCTAAAGATACTTTGGTGAACTGGGATGTGTCTCAGTGGGCCTTTTTATGTGTGAGCACCTGGGTTCAATTTCCAGCACTGCATGTTCTCCTGAGCACCAGGAGTGACCCTTGAATACCTAGCTTAAGAGTTAATACTAAACATTTGTATAAAATATTTTTAAAATGGGTATCACTGAGTTTGGTCTTTGAACAAATGAAACGATAAAAAAGATACAGGGTTTTTTGAAGAACAAAGTGATATTCTCAAGTTTCCCATAAAGGCAAGTAAGACCAGAGAAATAAGAGAAAATGTGAGTCAGGGAGAAAAGCCAGTTCAGGAATAAAGAAAGCCAGAAGAAATACTTTTTTAATTATTGCAAAATATGCTTTAAATCTACTGACCAAGAAGACTGTGATATATTTGACAGTAGATTTCACACACACACACACACACACACACACACACACACACACACACACACACAAATAAAAATAAAAATAAAAAAAAAAACACCTCAGGACACAGTTTTAAAAATTTGGCTGATTCTCCAGAACTCAACTGCCACCATTCTCACGGCTGCTCTCCACAAGCTCAGGCTAAGCCTCACCCATGAGTGAACCCCCAGAAAACCCAGGTATGCAGGACTTTGTGACTGAGAACTCTGGGTTCAACACAGGACCAGGGACAGAGATCCACTTCCCGTATTCCCACCCTCCCTTCCATCTCCAGTGACTCAGAAATCATGCCCATAATCCTCCTTTGGCTGGTGCCAGATAATCTCATTGGGCACCATCCAGATCACGTCCTTCTCTACCGAAAGGGAGCATAGTATAACTCTCGCCATAACCATGCCACCGAACCTCATATCAGGCTGTTTCACTCGGGGCATCCCGGGGGGGGGGGCAGGTGAGACCCCTCCCCACCCCAAAGGACCCAGCCCTGGCAGCTGAAAACCTTCAGAACCCAACTGCTGCCACGCTTCCCACATGCCCAAGCTGAGCCTCACCCACGAGTAAACCTATTCCTGGACACTTCATACCACACACCATCCACACTCCAAGAGTACCACACCATATTTGATGGGGTTCAAAGTAGGAGGCAACCAATCTTAGAGGGAAATGTTTTCTTTTTTCAGGTATACATATATATATATATATATATATATATATATATAAAAGCATGCAAGGCTGAACCTTTAACAACATGTTAGTGATCTTTTATAGAAGGGTTTAATGACCCTTGGATGAAACACAACAATCTTCACACTCTTTCCTCTAAGGATACTTTTATTGTAGCATTTTCAGCAGTCTTTCTAATAAACAATATAAAATATATTCTTTCAGTTCTGCTTTGGGACAGGGATTGGGGTTCAGGATGGAAACATCCGAAATATGATGGTGGGAAGGTGTAATGGTAGTGGGATTGGTGTTAGAATATCAAATATAATCAAATATTATAAAGTACTTTATAAAATAAAAAAATAAAATATGGAATCAAGAATTAATAAAATAAAAAACTGGCTAAGAACCAATTGTTAAAAAGATAATACTAAAGTTTTAATAATGAGCAGGATCACAAATATTTTATACATTCTATTTATTAATTTAGCTCCCAAATTCTTCTTAATATAAAGAACATTTGTATAAAATATTTTTAAAATTCCTGTGACAGAATTATACAATATCTACATTCTCTATTTCAGAGACTTTGTGATTCTGTTTGTTAAAAGTTCCTTTTTACAGGGAAAATATTGTACAGAAGGTAACCAATGCTACAGAATTATCTTAAATGTGTCTGGCTTTATTTTTTTTAATCTGATTTACTTTTTTCATGACAGACCCTGGAGGCAAATGTTTATATATAAGGAAACTGATATTTTTTTTTTTTGGGAAACTGATACTTTTAAAGGTAATTTACCCAAGGTCAAACAACTATTAGAATTTAGTGCTGAGTGATATTATCCATCATCATTGTTCAAATTCCATTTTTAAGGTAACCAGTAGAATTCTGTGAACCAAAAAAGATGCTCATACGAGTAACAGTGAACTATGGCAATACAAATACTATTTAATGTATTTTGTTAGCTAAGGTTCATTTCCATAGGTCTTGGGTTTGATTTTTTTCTTTCCATGCCACTCCTGGGTTTGATATATATATATATATATATATATCCAAAAAGATTAAATACATTTATATTAGATTAAATTAAATTAAATTTATATTAGATTAAATACATTTATGTTAGACATGAATCCATAGGTATATAGAGGAATATAGTGACATTGAAGCAAAAGTCATCTTCAAGGGTGAAACATCATTGACCAAGCAAGTGGAAGCAATGATAAATATATGGGACTACATTAAATTAAGAAGCTTTGGCACATCAAAGATAATGATGATCAGGAAACAAAGACAGATCATAGAATGGAAAAAATTATTTACCCAACACTCAATTGATAAGGGATTAATATCCAAGATACATAAGACACTGGTAGAACTTTACAAGAAAAAAAACATACAACCGTTATTTTAAAAATGGGGAGAAGTAATGAACATAAAATTCCTCAAAGAAGCAATACAAATAGCCAAAAGCACAAGAAAAAGTGTGCTACATCACTCATTATCAAGGAGATGCAAATCAAAACAATAATGAGATATCAATCCATACCACAGAGATTGGCACACATCCAAAACAACAATCAGTGCTGGAGTGAATGCAGAGAGAAAGGGGCTCTCAATGCTGAATGGTTCAACCGTTCTAGAAAACAACATGGACATTCCTCAAAAAAACAAAACTGAGCTTCCAATGTGACCCAGTAATACCTCTCCTGGGGATATACTTGGGCCCAAATATACAATGCAGAAAAAAAGCCTTCTGCATTTTTATGTTCATTGCAACACTATTCACAATAGCCAAAAATTGGAACCAACCCAAGTGCTGAGAACAGATGAGTGGATAAAGAAATTATGGACTATGGTGCATCTATATAATGGAACAATAAGCAGCTTTTAGGAAAAATGAAGTCATAAAATTTATCTATACATGAATAGACATGGAGAGTATCATGCTGAGTGAAGTCAGAGGGAGAGGAACAAAAATAGAATGACTACATTCTATTTGTGGGATATATTAAAAAAAAAAACACTCAAAAACATAGTATGTGAATAACACAGAAAGACTGTAGAAACAAGGGCCAGGAGGACTAGTACATGGTAGGAAGCTTGATAGAAAGTGGGAGTGGGAATGCAGGTAAGACAGGGAAAGGAACCACTATGACAATGATAGTTGGAAATGATCACTCTGTAAAAGAACTGAGTGCTGAAAGGAGGTAAAGTGGGTAAAGTGATATGCATGATCTATAGCCTTTCGGTAACAGTCTTGCAAACCACAATGCCTAGAAAGAGAGACAGAGAGAGAGAGAGAGAGAGAGAGAGA